CCCCTCTAATCCACCCATTATATATGCGGACGTTCTTTCTAAACAGCGCTCAAAAGCATTTGTACAGTGAAAGCTATTTAAGCCACGCCCAACCACATGAACAGAAATTACTTGAGGTAAAAAAAGGTTAGGTTTGTCAGTATTAAACAATAAACACCGCGTGAAGGTGAACCTAATAGTTTCTCACTTATTTTTATAGTGGTTGGCTTTCAGTCTATCCATACAATGTCATTTAAAACAAAATTTAATTATTAACTACACATTTTAATTAGATTTGTGATAGTGTTTGCGATTATCAACAAGTTTAATAATATTTGACTCAATCATATTTGATGACCATATTTTCAAACGTGATCTTAATGTTTTTTCGCAAATACTACCAGTTTTGTCATTTTTAATCGATTTCATTAGGGAAAAATTGTTCACAATTAAAAGTAAATCCAAAATATGTTAGAATTGTTTATATGTGTGTTTTCCAAAATATGTGTTTAATATATGCATTCATTTGAATGATTAATAATTCATAATTTAATCATTAAAATATAATTTTAATATTGAGATGACACTTGGCTTCACTACTCCAACTTACTAATAGTAAGTACATTGGCTAGCAATAAACTTTAAACTTTAAAGTATGAATTCAAATACACCATATTCTTAATCAATGATAAATTCAACATTGAATTTGTTAATGACTATAGTTTTTAAAATAAAATATTTAACGTGAATGTGAATAATTTAAATTGCTATTCAAACCATTATTATTGCACTGTATTTCATAAATATTATAATGCATTCAAAGTGTACGAATCTCTAATTCCATATTTATTAAAAATATAATTTTACATTTTTAGTTTATAATTGACATTTAATTACATTAAATTTCAATAAATTGTATTTAATGTCTAAAAGTTATATGAATTTCAAAACAATATTTACATAATATGTTAATTAATAAAAATTGATAATTCATTCATTAGATTCGTCTTCCATAGTGTCGGCCGGCGATGATGTCTCACCGACAGAGCCATCAGCTGAGGGCTCGACCACTATCTCATCCCTACTCTTAGAGTTTAACAACTCTTTCCTGATCTCAGGTGTGATCTGATAGTGAGACTGAAGTCTCAACAGTTCCAGGAGTGCGTCCTTCTGTTCGGAGGAGAGATCCTGTTTATAGTGTTGTGCGAACACAAGTAGGCACTGATGCCAGAGGATAGGCAACTCTCGCTTGTCGTTGGAGAAGCGCAGGAAGTGATAGACGAGTGCGTCGACCACTCGATACGGAAGAGCGTACTTCTTGTTGATCAGTATATGAAGAAACACAGAGTTAGCGCCCGAATAGTCCATTTCGGCGATCTTTAGCATCGCTGCGCACGAGTGAAGGATCGGTATGTGTTGTTTGGCCATCACTGAGCCTATGATGACGGCCTCCCGGAGCGTACAGTTGCCGGACTCGCAGAGCGGAAGTATTATACCCTTGAAAAAGGCGGCCGATTTGAACAGCGATTTCCTCAGCGCCTGATATAAGTGGAAATTAAGTCTTTTATATTCGTCGATATCATCGCGAAGTCGTGGCAATAATATTAGATTATAGAAGCGCTGAGCCATCCGTTCCTTCAGATTGGATGTGAATATACGCGTCGCCGCCATCATTGCCGCCGCTGTCCACCCGTCCGGATCTGTGATCTCCAATATCTGTGACAATAGGACATCAAAGTTTATTATATTGATAGACATTAAGATTAAAAGTATAGTCAAATACCTGTTCCCAATTGGAGAGCGCGGGTATAATCTTGAAAGCTTTGGGCAGTTTTCCGCTCCGATATCGAGACAACACTAGTTTGACTCCTTTGTAGAGCTCAACCACTTTCTCATCCAAGTCCTCGACGTTAATACCGGTCGCGTCCGACAGTTGTGTCTGTATTTCGGTCTCCTTTTCGCGTATCTTTTCGGCGATAACGTCGGCCAAAGTCTTGCGTTTCTCTCCGTCTCTATTCATAAACACTTCTAACGCGCGCTCGTCTTCGGCGGTGATCTGAATCGACTCGTAGTAGTCGTCCACCGCCTCGTCGTCCGACCCGTACTCACTGTCCGTCTGGTCGTCGCCAGTGTTGGCCAGTTTTGTCGGCTTCCGAGCGGGTGTTCGGCCGTCCGCGAGACCGGAACCGCCGGCCGTCTCCGCCAACTCGTCCTCGAGTTCTGTCTGTTGTCTTCGCGCGGACTTCAGTATACGTGCCGTCAGTTTCGGGTCGATATACTGTCCGTCAGATTCAACCCATGAATCATATGTTAATTACAACACAATTAAGTGATCAATGATTTGGACTTACATTTTGTTGATTCCCTTCCTCTTCAGTCGAGTCCTTATATTTGGCTTTTTGTCGGTCTCTCTGTTTGACGGCATTGTGTCCACCGATCTGTTGGTCTAACGGCTCGTTTCTAATGGCCTTTAAATGCTTTAATTTCTTCGCTTTTCCCATAATTTATCAATTGTTTAGTTAATCAACAAAATTGTTAACAAAACACGTGTTATTGTAATGTGTTTTGAATGGCATTTAAACCATTGAAAAGCATTGCATTCATGCCATTCATAAACACTGTTACATATTTTTATGAGTTTATAGTTATTAATAAAACTAATTTGTGGCCATAATTAACAATATAAGGTAATTATTATTAATTATCAAGCACAATCAATGAGCCCAAGTCTACCTTGAACATGTAATGATGAAAAATAACCGTGGTAGACTTAATATGATAATTTATTTTTAATTTAGGGGCAATTAAACACACAATACCTGTTGCCATAGAGACGAGTACTGTTTGCCTGTATTGACAATAAAAGACACGTCTGTTTAAAGTCCACCAAAAATAATATCAATTTATTTTGTTTTAAATAATTAATGATTTAATTAATGAGTAAAACATATTTAAAACTAATTAATTGTTTAGTAACACATGTATTGCCTCTCGAAGTGTATGTAATACAGGATTGCAATCATTAAAAGCAGTGTTTTTGTGGGAAAATTGAAAATCTGCACCAAAATTGTTGTCACATTTCTCTCGCATCCCATTAATAGTCACTCATATATCGCATACAAGACATGACACAAACAATGGTAAGTCTTCATCGGCTCATGTCTTCGCATTTGGTTTTGTTGTTAATCGTGTTTTGCATTTCATGTCTTCGCTGTACGTCTTGGCATCGGATGTAGAAATGGTGGCCAAACACACCACTCATCCAAACCATTCAATTGTATTTATTGACAACTCTTTTACTGAGTTTACAAGCCTTTGCTCAATATCAACAACAACAACAATATGGTAAAACACACGCAGACCACCACATCATACATACCTCACACCCCTTCCTACGCCCCCTCTGAACACTGTTTTAACACCCATTATGTCAATGCATTAAAACCCCTTTTATTACCTCAATGTTTAACGATGTGTTCAATAGATTGTTATCTAAAGCTTTGATAATATCTCATATGAATTGTCTATATATTTAAAGGTATGCCACAACAGGGAGGAGCGCCACAACACTCGATCCATTCTTACGGCACCGGACAACAGGGCGGACAACAACAACAACAGTACCAACAGGTGCCACATCAGGCACAGGGAGGACAACAGCAGCAACAGTATCAACAACAGGGGCAAGCGGTGGCACCGGGAGGTCAGGGCGAACACGTGCCTCAATACCAACAGGCGCCACAACACGGCTCTAACGTATTGCATGACTCGCAACGCATACACGATAGACAGCACCTGAAGGAGCACTTGCACGGAGCGGTCGGCGCCGACGATCTCAGCAAAATGTCTGAAGAGGAGCTCCAGTTTCACTACTTTAAAATGCATGACAACGAATGACATTTATTAGTGAGTGTACTTTCATTTTATCACAATAAATCCAAAGTGCCCGCAATCTCACAAATGGGCAAACTCCTTTGCTGTGTGATAACATGTGCCACACTTTGAGAGGGATTTTGTATTGTTTTACGTAAGTTATTATAAAGGAAGAGACCGATCACATGAACAGAAATCACTTGAGGTAAAAAAAGGTAAACTTTTTGACTGACCGTTGCTCTACCTTTTTATGGCATACTATGAATCTGTATCTGTGATACTCTAAAAAAGATTGGCTAGCTGTACTTTAAACGTAACCGGAATTGACCATTAAGTAATATGATTTTTTAAAAGGAATAAGCTTTAAAAAATGTGGAGTTGTGAAAATTATAAAACATTTTACTAATACTAAACCTAATGGTTGTCTGATTTATTAGGCTTTAATCAAATTGTTTTATTGATTTGTTGTCAACTTTCATATATTATTCTATTAATTATGAGCATATGGTTTATATAAATTCAAGAAACGAATAAACAAATGTATTGTGTATTACATAATACTGTATAACTTAAAAGAGAGAGAGAGAGAGAGAGAGAGAGAGTGAGAGATGATTCACTTGATATGTAGACAATAATTGTTTTTTGTACAAAAATGAGATTCATTGTTTTTGTTTCATATTGATTGTGTCTGATAACTTACAAAATACAAATATGTAATTCAGATAACATTG